AGGACCTATTTTCTGCATGGCCTCCCCAAGCCATTTTTTAATTAACTTGTTGCCCAGCTGCTGGCTTCCACAGCTGACACTTTATTAGAGGTGTATATGATCAATTGGGCCATAGTATTTAAATAAAGGCCTAGTGGAGCCCATGTATATTCAACCACATTTAGGAAAAAATGCATTTGGGCAAATTCTAGTCTTTTAGAAAGGTATTACAATATTGTTCTTGATTACACGTAAGTATTGTGTGACCTTGAACAAAGGGATTTGAGCCTAGATTTTCAAAGAAGTTCACTAGATTGATTTACAATCTGCATGTCCTTTGTTTTCAGAAGTGTTGAACACCCACGACTTTAATAGAATTCACCTATTTTAAGTGCTTGTAGAAAACAGAAGCTGAGTAGGTCATACTGGGACTCAGGACAGTTTGAAGAAGTTTAACTTTACTGGCCTGTCTCTGTTTCACCATCTGCAAATAGGGGATCATAATGGCAACCAACTAAAGTACTTCAGGATTTCACTGTAAGGATTTAATTAATTAAGGTCTGTAAAAGGTGTTGAAGGTATAAAAAGAAATGCAAAACTCTAGAACTCTTGGTTCAAAGATGGCACCTTTTATTAGACCAATTAAGAAATCGCAAAAAAATGATCTGTTTCTGCAAGCTTTTAGGCACACACGCCATTCTTCAGGCTCAGGGAAAATTAAAGATGGTAAAAAGTCCCCACGGGTAGAAAATAAACTTCATTTTTGCACAGAGGAAACTGAAGGAGGAAGTAATGCACTCGGTGCTGCTGAAGCTCCTGAAATTGTCTTCCTTTATTTCGCCACAAGGCGGAGTCAGCAGCTCAGCTTTAAGGGATGCTGGCTCCAGAGGAGGTTTCTCCACAGCTTGTATAATCCTGCAAGCGGAGGAACAACTTATTTAACCTCTTAGCACGAGAAAAAGACATCTGCGTTTATTACTGAAAATGTACTATGGCCAGCACTCAACTCACTTGGCTTCCTAACTGTTCAGTTGACAAGTGTCTTTTGGAGGAAGGTGCCCGTGAAATCATTTAAATGAAAACGACCTACAGTTGATCCAGGTTCACGATTAAAATTGTTTTATTTGCCTTGAAAGAAGGTTAGTAGAGAGCCTTGACACTGACTTTTTGTCTTTTCCTTTTTTTACATTACAGCCCTCATTACCTAAGAGCTTTCCATCTTTCCAAACCGATGCTAGGACGTTGTTTTCCGAGCGTGTTTGCTGGCTTGTTTCGCTGCAGCCCTTTGTGATCAAATGTTTT